GGGCCTCCCGGTGACTCCAGTTGCTGAAACTGGAGCTGCACCAAGTGGGGAGACCGGGCATGAGTCAGGGCCCGAGGAGGACTGGCTGAGGCTGGGGGCAGAGGCCTGCAACTTCATGCAGGCCCAGCGGAGACCTAGGCCACCTGCTGTAGCTCCCAAACCCCAAACCCCTCAGATGCCACAGCTGGAAGGGAAGGGAGGGGAGCTGTTCGCCCGCCGGCAGAACAGGATGGATCGGTACATTGTGGAGCGATCTCCTTCTGTCGCTGCAGTGCCTTACTCTCCCGCCCAGGCGAGGAGGTCATCACCCACACCTTCTCTCCCTTCCACCTGGAAGTACTCGTCCAACATCCGTGCTCCTCCTCCCATCAGCTACAACCCCCTTCTCTCTCCCTCCTGCCCTCTGAAGGCCCAGAAGAAGTCTGAGGTGAAAAAGTCTGCGCCAGCTGGATCTAAAAAGCAGAAAGCGGGCCTCAAGGCTGTGGACATTATGAGCCACCAGCCCTACCAGCTCAACTCTTCTTTGTTCAGCTATGGGGGTGGGGTTCCCATGAACACCCCCACCTATCAGCAGCAGAAAGGAATGACAAGTGGTCCTCAGAAGACGGCGCGAGTATATGAGGTGAAGCGCTTCTCCACGCCCCCACCGACATCCACGGGGCCGGCGCTCAAAGTCATTGTACCTCGATCAGCTACGACACTCGGAGAACCACTGTGGCGCTCTGATGTCACTTCTCCTCCACCCACGGTTGGCCATGCCCCCCACCAACCCTATCAGCCTCAACCCCAACCCTTCCAATCTCAGTGGGCCACCTCCCCTCTATCTCCCCCACCTCCCCCTGCCCCTACCGCTCCACTCCCTCAGCTTCCCTCCTTCTCTGCTTCTCCTGCTTCAAATCCACTCCAGTCCCCAACTTTCTCCCACCTTCAGCCCTCCAACACTGCGCAGGCCAACAGGCAGTTTAAGAGTGCCCCAGACCTCAGTCCCCTTGGTCGGCCGGCATCCAGCAGCACTCTACCTAACAGGGTCCCCAGGCCCAGGTTCAGCACTTGCAACCTGGGTCTGCAGCCTTGTGTCTGGCGCCCTGGATCCACAGCGCACTGAACAGACTCTGGTGTGGATATAATAAACCATGGCTCTCTGGGAACGGAGAGCAACATTTTTTAAATAGGTCCATGTGTTTTTAGTATCGTAACATTGTTATTCAGGGCTGCAGCTTGGTTTTTTTTACCAGCCACGTTTTATCACAAGATCTGCTTTGATCGGTCACCCATGTAGCACATTTCATCACTTACATTTAATCTTGTTGACTCGTTTATCCAATGCATTTGGCTGTAGTTAGAGGAAACACTGTGTTTTGCAAAGGAAAAAAAATAGAAATCAACGGCAGATTGAAAGGACAGAAAGAGATGTTGGAGAAAACTGAAATAAAGTTCTGTAAATATTACATTCAATGATGAAGAATTAAGTTCAAACATAAAAAAAGAAGAACAGAGGATGTGAAAAAACAAGACTGTTGTGAGAGAGATGTGGTCGAGGATAGGAAAAAGATGAAAAGGAAAGCACAGATGAAGTGACATAATAGAAACAATGTCTGATGAGTGTAAAAGGTGCAGATTAGACTCAAAACTTCCCAATCTGTTAACATCCTACAGCACCTGTTGCATCCAGCAATATCATATAAAGTTGATTTACTAACACATTTGAAGTAGCTACTACTACTGTGATTTCCCTTGTTATATGTATTCTACTGATTTGTGTTTGATGAGTGCCTTTTTTTTAGTTGCACTCTGCAGCAAGTGTGTGCTTTGTTTTTTGTAGATTTTCAAAAGGCGAAGAGCACAGCTGCCAGGAAGAAGGGAAGCCTTTTACAGTAGCGTTGATTTGTGATCTGTTGATATGAAACAAGAGATGTATAACATGTCTGTTTCGCTGTTTTCCACAGAGACATGCGGCTGAATAAAAATAGACATGGCTCACCTCAGCTGTCACTCTATTTCTCCCTGTGTCACATGCTCCCACGTCGCTCCAGTATCTCCTCCTCCCATTAGTTTTTACCCTTTTCCCCTCTTTCAGGCATTTTTCTGACTAGTCTAATAGCTTAATTGCTCCCTCAGGATTCAGTCTGTGAAGCGATAGTTAAGGCGTCATGAAAATGTTACTTTAAACTTTCACCACATGGAGGCACTGTAGGATTTGCCATCCAGACATGCTGCACCACCTCCCTTCGTCACAGATTTTACTTAACGAGAAAGTGAGTAACATTTAAGGTAAAACAAAAATTATTTGACATCCTTTTTATAATCTTAAATTACATTTTCTAGATTCTAACTACTAACATATTGTCTATTTAGTAATCCGACGAAATAATGAAATAAAAAAAAAATGTAAATACATACATCCCTTTTCTAATTCTTCTATTTTAGACTCAGTGTCTGATAATTGTTGTTGAAAACGTCCTCGCAGGATTGTTGCCCTCCATTTCAGAGCAGTTACATGACAGCCACCGGATGGCCTTGGAGCTGTGAAACCCAACCATGGCCACGGAAAGGGATCTAACCTCTGACCATCGGATGGGATCAGGTGACAGACGGTTCTAACTTTAGCTGCTAACTTGAGTCCTGTTCAGCTAGTGGAAGGTACAAAACTCACATTCTGATTCATTTTTTTGCAAACTAGGCCACAGGATTTCAGAAATACATAAAAGCTGGAACTGCACTTATAGTAATGACTGAAGTGGCTCTTTCAACTTTTGGCCACATTTAACAAATTAGTTCCACAATCCTCCCTCTTTAGGTCTCTCTCCTCCTCTCTGTTAATTCCTCCCTCAATCAATTGCACACACTCACGCACGCACGCACGCACGCACACACACACACACACACACACACACACACACACACACACACACATACACACAAACACACACACACACACACCATTTCCCCTATTTTCTGAGCAGTTAATCTCCACCTTTTTGGCCCGGTGCTAAACTCTTAATTCTGATGGATTTTTTTTATTGAGAGTGGAGGGGAAGCGTTACCTCGTACATCCTGTCTCCTCCCGCTGCTCTGCCAAAGAGGCTCTTTAGCCACATTCTCACATCGTGTTTCTGGGTCAACAGAGTTAAGTGTTTGGGGTCAAGGGTCAAGGGTCAGGGTTGGACAAATAATTGTCGTTAACACTCTCATGTGCATTGATTATTTCAAAAGGATATTTGAAAAGGAGTTTATTGTTTTTTTTTTAAATTTGTTATTAACTAATCTGTTTGGTTTAATAAAATATGACTTATTTGTAATAACCAGCCAGCTTTGTGATAAACCTTCAAATGGGAGTTAGATTCCCTGATTGATTTATAATCCAGCTACACACACATCTGTGTCAAGGTCACCTGGCCCGCTCAGTTTCAGGACTACCATGCTGCAATGCAGCGGCTAACGTAAGCTATAAATTAATTTCCCCACACGTGCACGAGCGAGCGTACACTAAAGGCTCTAAAGGAAACTGGAAGATCCTACATACACCCGTGTTCACAGAATGGCTCAAACTCGTGACAGAGACAGCTGCATTTGAAAATATGATTGCCAGGGTAAAGAACATTCCAAGCAAAAGTGACCAACCATGGGGAAATCTGATGGCTTATATTACAGATTCACAATCTTAGAGGAGGTGTGGAGTGCTTGCGGATGGGATTTGCGTGTATATGTATATATAGGTATATGTGCATGTATGTCTATATAGAGGTATATGTGAAAAAGAATGAATGGGGATAATGTACAATGTTAATATATTTAAATTAATAGAAATTTAAATGACAAAATAAAAACAAAGGCTCCAAAGGTGGACTAATCGATGTGATGACGTTTTGTAGCTCTTATTTAGCCACTTGTTAGCCACCGCCTTTTTTAAGACACTTAAAAGCTTCAAAATTCACAAAGGCTCTACTAGCGTAATCCATACATAGCGTAGGACAAACCTTTACAGACTTGATGTTAGGCGTCTAACCAAAAACCCATTCAAGAAACCCTTTGACTTTGCACCATTCTACCACCACCTGCGAAACTTAAGAAGTTCCCATCTGCCTCAGCTGTCCTTTGTTTAGCGTTAAATAACAAATTTTTGGTTGCTAACACACTAAACTAAGTTGATGAACATTAGAAAGTTAGCATTATGAGGATGTTAGCATACTAGCTCCAATATTTGACTTTGTTTTTTAAGGGGATATGTTAGTAAGCATTTGTTTATTTATACATCCAGCAGATAGAAATGTACATTAGCTAACATCTCTGTTAGCTCTCTTTTTCGCCTCTACAAGCTCCTCAGCCACCCCTTTCACATTGTCATTTGATAAATTGTTATTGTAAAAAATATAGATTATAGGCTCTTTAATTAAAGATAGTTTCTTATCAGAGTCATCATCCAGCCCATTGAAGCGATTCTTGTTATTACTGATGATCAATACTTCGCAGTTAGCTGAACAAATCTTTGTTTACTGACTGAAATATAGAGCCTTTATAGCCCCCCCCCACACTATTGCACAAAAGTCAAATTGAGTCAGACGGTGTCTTACAAAACTAGCTGAATCTAAAAAGCAGGAGACTGACGAGGAACTGTGACTGACATGATGACACAGCTGCCAGGCACAAACAAGGTGTGAAGTTGCAAAGGTTTGTTAGGTTGAAGGAGGACGTATAAAGAGGGGGAGGAAAACACATCAACAAAAGCATAAATGCCCTAAAGCACGTAAAACTGAGTGACGGGAAGAGAGTAACTGCTGGAAAGATGTTTTCTATTCTTGCCTGTTGTTTGTCATGTTATCAAAAGCCCCTGTTCCCCTGCTTTTGGAAGAGGTGGGACGTTTCCTGTTGTTACTCATCTTACCGATCTCTGAACTTGAAACACCACACCCACCTGCCTCTCTACCCCCTCCTCAATTCCACTCACCCTCCTCTCCCTCCCCCTGAAGCCAGTTCCATAGCACCAGAGCAGCCCTGCTGATAGGGTTTCACTCACTCCAGGGCGAAGAGGACAGACAGTACAATACAAGCTCTAGGACATAAACTTACCTGGGAATCTATTCCACTTCCTCTGTGCCACACCTTTTCTGGGACCTTCTGAGACCTGTGTCTTCCTGTGGATACCTGGTCTTAGGTAAGACATTAGTGAAGGGATCAAGCGTGACAGCGTCGATAAAGAGATCTCTCTCACACGTGTCTTGAGTGTTTGTGGGTTATCTTGCGCTGCTGGTCACTGAGTGGTGAAATATTTCTGGCTCCTTTTTAAGTACAAGGAGACGATTACAGTTGAATTTAATTCCTGTGGTCGGGCCGATTTTGGCTGCAGGAGAAGCCCCCATCTGTAGCCTGTGTAGGCCTCTGTAACTTAATGAATTAGTGGATGAGGGAATCAGAAGCAGATGCTCAACTTCATATTATATATTTGTTTCGTTTGAAGTGCTAGAACTTGCTCGAGAAAGGCTTTACATCATACATAGTTCAACAGATATATTGCAGATTTACAATTTCTTGAGTAAATTAATTAAAATATCAGTGAGAGCCAGCTGGTAGATGACTTTCCTGTTCTTCCACCAGCTCTTACTGTACCCAACACTGTGGTAGGTGAGGAATGTGGCCCTCCGCAGTGGAGTTTTCAGTCCGCCAGTATGGATGTATGTGTGTATTTGGGAATGTGCTTACTGATGCCCTTCCTTCTCAGCTGTCCCCTCGAGATTTATCAGGAGCTAAAACAGGCTGGTCGTAGGTAACAGGACCCAGGCCCTCGCGCCGATCCTATGGTGGCCATTGGCACAGCAGTGTGCCTCCATCTTGCCTTTTCCCAGAACAACCAATAACACCTGTAATCTCCAGTTTTTAATCCACGGCCACTGACTCCCATTAATCACAAGAGAAAAGCTATTTGAGTGCAAATCTGTGTGTTTGTGTGCTAGTGCATTCATATGTATGAACAGTCCAGGGCACTGCAGCGCTATAGAACATACATAAAAATAGCTCGCACAGGACTGAATCCCAGGCTAGAAAATGGGCTTCAATTACAGCAGATGAAAAGCAATTACATTAACTGTCTCCCTGTAGACGGGCCATCCAGCTTTTCCTCTTGTACTGGGACTCACCTCAAGCCTTGCATAATTGCTTTCGACCTGTGCAATAGGCAGCGACATACTGCCGGCCCCTATTTCAGTGGGTAGTCAAGAGAGACACGGGCTGCCAATGGGAATTAGTGTCCTTGAGGGCATGCGGGGGGCTATACACAATGTTCAAAGTGTGCTTAAGTTAATTTGGGAAGCGAGGTTCCTGCTGGAGCTTGCTAGAATTTGGGACGTGATGTGCAACTCCATCAGACAAACACATATCTTGGAGTTTTTTTCCTGAAATATTTATGGGAAAGTTTTGTTTGTATCACATTTCACTGCTGCTAATTTCGTCATCCTCTCTGTTGGGCTCCTGAGAGACCAAATACATTTAAGAATTTTGGGGAATCATTCTTCGATTAAGTCAGTTTTATAGTTTAAGATCAATTAAAGTCCATTTGTTGAAAGAGCACCAATCCAGCCCGGTCAATTTATTGACATATCTTCTTTGGAGGACAGTCTCATTTAAAGGGGCTAAATTCAAAATTTAGAACACATCTATGTTTGAGGGATTGCCTCAACACGGCTCTCAAAATGGCAAGGGCTGAATGGCTAGCAGCTGTAGGCATGAAGATTGTAAACGACAATAGTGCTGACAGAGCTAACAGTGGTTTTTCACTTCAAGCTAAGCCTTTCACATTAAATATAGTAAATTGATCGAATATCAAAAGAAATATTCTGGCGAGTGCAGCTTTAAATCTTAAAATCTAAACAAATTGAAACTTGAATTAAAACTTCTATTTCTAGTTCATTTTTGACCTTGGAAGGAGCAGTTTGACAAAAAGATCCTTCTCTCCAGGATTGGAGTTTATTAGTACCACACTCAATCTGTTGATGAAGACTGTGAGATGTACTATTGTGAAAGTATTGTGAACTGTGAAATTTTGGGGACTTTTTGGACCGTATTTGGACAATTATTTTTCTAAAGAAGTCCTCATTTCTCTTTTCTGTCCTTTAGCCATGCCTGTCACCACTCCTGCCCCTTCTAACAAGAGGAAGGAGGCCACCAAGATCATCACTGACCTGTCCAGCATCAGCCAGAATGGTAAAACACACACACACACACACACACACACACACACACACACACACACACA